TCTTTACATTTTATTGACAAAATTTAGGTGTTATGATTGACTTAATGTCAGCCTGGCTATCGGAATATATTGTAATAGATTGGGTTAATGATCGGTAAGTCTATTTTGACCCGCTTATATAGACAACCTTGATATACCAATCACTCCAACTGTTTGGAGCCGAAAACACGAGGATGGTTGCCATTTGCATGACCTTGTCATTCAATCTTCGTGCAGGCACCTCGATTATCTATCACGGGTTATAGAGAGGGCACTATAAATCGCAGCTGATTGGGTTGAGAACCAAGTACTCTATGTAAATCCGGAAAAATCTGAGGTGCACCTGTTTAGAAGACAACTACAAGATCTCCAATTCGACTCAAGATCTGTCTGCTTAATGTAGCAGTTGGGATAAGGACTACCTCAGCAAAAACCCTGGATGCTAGCCTTGATGTCAGCCCAATTGCGCTCCTAAAAGTTGTGGTCAATGGGATTTAGTCTCCTAACAGCGAAGGACAGGGAATACCAGCAGTAATTATACGGATATTTATATGTAAACAGATAGATCTTAGCATGGAAGAGGGGCAACCCTCATAATAGAAAAAGAAGCTTCCAACTCAATGATTATAAATCCGTCATCCAAGTAGAACACAATGAACATCGTTTGAGTCTCGTAACACGGTTGTAGAAGGTAATGAAAAAGCGACTATCCTGTCCAATGTTACCTGCTGCCCAAAACGGGGTTAGGTCGCCTAAACGATAATAGCCGTGTAAAATCCGGGTCAACTCCAACGCATAGAGCTGGCTGTGGTGAGAATTGTCCAAGTCAATCATTCAGTGCCACTGTCAGACATCGAGGAATCCTCATTACCGACGGGGCTAAACAGGTGGATCATAAGCTACCTGTGAAAGATTAAACAGGAGGTTCCACAGAGTTGTGTCCTCTACCCAATGTTCTTTAACCCTTATATTTTGAAACCACCTCCTCCGCCTGATGGGGTTTCTCTGATCTCATACCACCATACCGACTATTGCTGGATATTTTGGTCTTACCAGTATATTGATGACTTATGTTCGAATGTGAACTGCTATCTCGACGTTCTATTCCACAGACTCGAACTTGGCATTCAGCCTGTACTCGTTAACTCCGCATCCGACTGCCATTGTCGCAAAACTTTAGAGTCACAAAAAAGTGTTAGCCGGCAACGCCATGGGAAAAGATAAATAAACGTTTCTGGCAACCAACAAGGCAATTGACCTACCGGTCGTAAACCATGCTGCATACATCTGGGCACCGAGGACTAACTAGACGCAGATGAAGAAGCTACAAGCCTAACAAAACACCGCCGTAAGGACCATGATAGGACACCTTCTGATGTCGTAAGAGCATCACTTGCACAGCGAAGCATCTACGCTACGAGTTAAAAAGTATAATGCTGTGTACTACCACGCAGGCACATCAGAATGGGATTACTTCATTTAAAGGACTGTATTCAGCGCCATTCACAACAACGGCTGGACGGAAGGGCTTGCCGGCAGACGTTAAACAGCATTGACCGAGAGCCCATTCGCGCCTTCCTGAACACTCTTCCAGTGAATAGCGTTCTCGGTGTCAAACCACCACTACACGTAGAGATATTTCAACAGAATCTGGTACACAGATACACACAACAAAAACATTTTGAATAGATATACAAACGGATACGAAATTTTGTAACAATACAACTACAAATATAGCGATTTTTTTTGAGTCATTACGGCAACAGCAAAAATGACTACTGCAGCCTATAGCTGGTAAAATATGCAAATGAGAGGGGAAACCACTTTTTTGCATTTAAAATTAAAAGTTACTACTCTAGGAGAAATAAGGAAGAATGAGAAGTGATTTATAGGGCTTTTGACGATCAATGAGGCCGTGCAAATATTTCTAAAAAAAGAGTGTTGAAACTCACAAACACATAAGCACAAATATTATCTAGTGTTAGAATTTTTATTTTTTACCTTTTGTTAAATAAAAATTATTTAGATTGGTACGAAAAACAGCTGCCATCCATTAGATGCCTATTATTTAATCATTACCTTAAATTATTCTTCGAGTTCGCCTTGAACTGTGTGTGTTCGGTTCAATTAAAACACCTCGACAACATATCGATCCGAGTTCATTAATCACACATTAATCAAATTTCAACTAATCAATAATAATCTATTATATATTATAAGCCTGCATATATGTCTATATATATGTATTTCTACTATTTATCGTGATGTGTGCTTATATGGTATGAGCCATACTCGCTTATGCTTGAAAGTCAAAATAATTAATTAAACATTTTTGGTCTATAATTACGCGCTTAATAAACATAATTATATAAAATTATATCGAAATTCAGAATTATAATTAAATTTTGATAATAATGACTAGCATTAATAGTGTTAAAAGAATATTTAATGGTGCTTTGATAACTATCTGAACCTGTTACGTCAATTCAATTGTTGGTAAAGCGTACTAGGAATATCTATCCTGCAGGGAAAATACTTCTTGTTAACTAGAATCCAAATGGTTTGGTGCAGTTTTGCACTAACTCGTTCATCTTTCATCGATTTCCCATTTGAAGAACTAGTTATGATGTCCCAGGAGCTGACAACTGTGCGACTATACATCAGTTTCATACTAGTGATATACCAGTACACTTAGGCATGTTGAATTTCTATGTCACCAAAATAGAATGAAAATAAAGATGTGCTTTTCTGCTGCGTGAATCGATACGCGAACCTCACGCGCTACAGTTAGGACCTCTAAACAATAAGCTAGCGCCGTTAGAGATGAAACTCATCCTTAACACAACAGCCCCATACGAATAGCAGATTGATGAAAATTTCTATTGAGACTCGAACCGGAAACCTAACGCACTACAGCGATAAGCTAACCATGATGGGCTGCTATATAAATAACCAATTGATATGATTTCATCTTTAAAATACTAGTATTTAACTAGATCTATATAATATAGTCTATCTTCTCCCTGCTGGATATATTTATCACCAATACACAGTCGCCAGTGAATGTATAAGGAATCAAGTAAGCTTTGTATAATCCTTCTCTTTTCACAGTTTTCCCTCTAATTTACCTGTCTCCTTGGTCTAGCAGTTGCGATAAGAACTACTAAACCAAAGGCCTTGGATGTTAGCCTTATTACGCGCCTAAAAGTTCTGGTCAATGGGAATCACTCTCCCAACAGCGAAGGACAAGGAAACATACAAAAAATTAATGTTTCAAAATGCAATGCTACTGAGAGTATTCGGTGGGATATCATCAGTAACTGTAAGGATATTTCTGTCCACACGGATAGGCTTTAGCTTGGAAGCAAGATTATTCTGTAATCTACACAATAGAAAATGCAGCTTCCAACTCAATAATTTTTACTCTCTCTATTTCCATCAAGTTTCTAATGCTTGCTACCCTAAAGACTTCAACAACACACTGCTTCAAAGTGACCGCCATTCATATGGTGTTATAAGAGTTCTGATTTTTATGCCTATCTACGGCTCATGCAAAAGTCCTTTGATGGTCCACCCAGTATTTCTGCGTGACTACTCAATAGAAAATGTTCTACTAATGTGGCAATCACAGTCCCTAGTAACATTGGATTAGTTGACAGACAGTCCTATATTTTTATTTACCACGAACAATGAATAACCCTCTTAAAGTGCGCTTACAAGAGGAGATCGGCATAAGCAGAGAATAGTAATTTGTGCGGTCTCTACTATATCATAGATACAAAGATTAAGAGAATTTGGCAAGTGGCTTCTAAGCAAGGTCTTTAAGAGAGTTAATAAGCTGAAGGTCTCTTCGTTTATTGGAAAAGCAATAAATTGGAGGAAGAGCATCGCCATACAGACATAAATACAGGCATTCCTTATTTACCGTCTGGGGGCGTTTGGTCTTCGATTTGGATGAAACTCGACGCATGTATCAATTACACACTAAAATTACTAGAATTAAACCTTAAATGTTTTTAGAAAAGTTTTCCTAGAAGTTCATATTTATATATATATATGTATAAAAATATATAATTGAAGCGATTTTCGGACGAGCTCCTCCTACAATTTGATGTTTTTCCAACAAATGGCGGGACCTACAGTTTATACTAAGTCGCCTCCGAACGGCTGATGGTTTTTTATGAGGATTTTTTTTATTTCGGCTCGGAATAAGGAATGCCCGGTCAAGGGGCGACCGCGATTAAGAAATTTAACTTAATTTTTTTATTTAAATTAATTTTCTGTAACTTTTTGGACACGAGCCTTCCGAACGGCAGTACGCAATGCTAGGCACTCTGCTATCGTGGCCATTGATATACATATATATACAACTAATTGGCGCTTTATAGCAGCTATCAAAATCGACGTTATAATGCGTAGCCATAAGCAGCAAGTACTTCCGCTTTCCGAAATACTAATTCTTTTTCTTCTTCTTCTTATTTTCAAACATTTTTATTTTATTCACCACTACACATACTCATAACTAAGACTAATTACAGTTTCTTGATACTAATAATTCAAGTTAATGCTGCTACAAAACATGACAGAAGGTTGTTTTGCCAAATTGTTCCGCCTCAAAGTGTTAAGTGGCCACTGTTTGCTGCTCTGCATCAATGGCAAAATGGGAAACATTTGTTTTTCACAGCAACTAATCTGTTAACTTGGTCAGTTACACTGCTGACCTACAAGCAGCGCCGCCAAAGCGAGTTGTGGGAGTTTGCTTACGGGCGTTCCTCTTCAGTGCGTTCTGCCATTGGTGCGCCAATTCAGCCGACTTTTCGGATTGCTTTACGCATTTTCTTAAATTATGGTTCCATTGTGTTTGGAACACAGAAGTGTTTTATGTATGTATGAAGAGCCATCACAGTGTTGCATAGTTTTGAAAACTTCTTAACGAAAAAATTTGGAAAAAAATATGTACATTTTCCACGGTTGGGAAAATAAATTTTGCCAGTGGGCTATATAAAATGGAAGATGAATTCTAAAATTGGCACAGTTTTCAATTAGTGATCGCTTTAGTAACATTGCTCAAAACTAGTTCCATAATATGTTCAGATTAGTAAGTTACGCAAAGAAATGAAAATATCTCTTTTTCTTCACACCAAAAATTTACATTTCCAGCTCACCATCGTAATTGCTGTCGTCCTTTCGGCTGCGCTAACACAGGCCCGTCCCAGCTTGAAGTACCTGCCAACTGTTGCAGAGCATGTGGAATATACGCCAACCGTAGTTGGGCACACCGTGCACTCACTGCCCACCGCAGTGTCGCATCAGAGTCAAACCATTGTGCACGAGAAGCGTCCCTACCTGCGTCCCATAGTGGAGCACACGCCCATTATCAAGACATACACGCCAATTGTGAAGACATATTCGCCGGTGATTAAAACTTATGCCCCAAGCACAAGTGTGGCTTGGCCTGCAGTTTCCTATGGATCGGTGTATCCTTCAGCTTATGCCGGCTTATACGATGGCTGGAGTTCACCGGCCGTTAAAAGTGTCTATGGCGGCTGGAGCTCTGGCTGGAAACCAAGTACGGCTTATGAGGATTGGGATGCATGGGCGTTGAAAAAATAAATAACTGTGACTAAGTAGTGAAGGTATTAAACAAGAAATGTGAAAAAAGTTGAAATTTTGAAAATGTGATGAAATAATAATTAGTTGTTAAGCCCCGCGACAGTGAATAAAGCGCCAAAAGCTTCAAATCAACTTGTTTAACTCAAGCGTAACCCGAGCTCGTATGCATTGCTCGGATATATTTCCTTGCTCAAAATGTGTATTTTTTCCACTTATATTCGTATGGATTGTCAGCGTGAGTTTTCATCCTATGGAAAACTTGCTATAACCAGGGCAGCTAGTCAGATCGGATCTTCGACACTATATTTGAACAGCTGAAACTGCGAGCATTGGCGTTCGAAGCTTCATTATTCTTAAAATGACCAATTGCTGCTCGAACTTATGTCGAAATTCAACGGATCGTCTACTCCAGCATTAACGTTTCGGAACTCGGAATTATCATCTCTGTGTACAGCGCGTAAATGGAACTCGCTTTTTTTTCAACTGTCGGTGTACATACCGTAGCACCGCAGTCAGGCATTACTCATCGTACCAAAATTTCTTCCGGCATTACCGCAAATCATTTCTCTGGTGTAGGTATGATAGGAACTTGTAATCACACGGCATTAGTTCCCATATAAAGAGTTGTTGGCGAACACGAAGGAACGCATGTCGAGTAGAAAACCGGCTGCTTGTCCATTGTGATTGAAAATTTTCGACATCGAACAACACTTGTGATTGATGACGTCACTCCTATGTACATGTACACAGGCTTAGATCAGTTTAGTTTATTACGTCATAGATACGGAATATTCCACAAATTGCAGTAAAACTATTTTTATGCACGCGCTCATGGAAAATTTTTTGGGTTGATTTTTTTGTTTCAAAACAGTTCTTATTAAACGCCAAAAATGCCTAGAGAAAGTGTCAAAAGAATAATTTTCAAATAGTTTTTTGAATTAAGCAGAAAAGTAACTAAACTGCTAATCACGCTAATCAAAAAATTTCATTCAATTCGGTTTCATTTCATTTGGAAATGTTATCGTTAAAACAGTTATCAGCTAGAAAATGCTGTCGTTAGGGTTGAATCGTTAACAGATAATGTTAAATCATTAACAGATAATGTTGAATCGTTAACAGATAATGTTATTTAAATCATTAACAGATAATGTTATTTAAATCATTAACAGATAATGTTGAATCGTTAACTGATAATGTTAAATCATTAACAGATAATGTTGAATCGTTAACAGATAATGTTATTTAAATCATTAACAGATAATGTTATTTAAATCATTAACAGATAATGTTGAATCGTTAACTGATAATGTTAAATCATTAACAGATAATGTTAAATCGTTAACAGATAAGGTTAAATCATTAACAGATAATGTTGAATCGTTAACAGATAAGGTTAAATCATTAACAGATAATGTTGAATCGTTAACAGATAATGTTAAATCATTAACAGATAATGTTAAATCGTTAACAGATAATGTTAAATCATTAACAGATAATGTTATTTAAATCATTAACAGATAATGTTAAATCATCAACAGATAATGTTAAATCGTTAACAGATCATGTTAAGTCATTAACAGATAATGTTAAATCATTAACAGATAACGAAATGGCTTCGTTTCGTTAGCTGATCACCTCTGAAATGAACTTTTTAGGCCATGAAGAAACAGAAGCAGCTGATTTGAATGCTACCAAGTAATTTTTTTATTCCGTAGAAATGTAGACACATACATAACTAGCGAACAACGGTTAGCAAATTAACAAAGTAGGGGTGAATACCTCTATTAATATTAACTCATATAGTTGTTAGAGTGATAAGCTCACATTAAGCAGGTGCCAAGTAGTGTTGCCACTGATTGTATAAGATAAGTGAAATTTTCTTGCAATTAAGCTAAACGTTTGGATAAGACATTTTTGAGCAAAAAAGTCTGATTGAGCAGTTTCTTTATGAATTAATTTATTTTTGTATCAGTTATATAGTTTTATAGGCTTCTTCAAAATCCTCAATATCATTTGTTTGATGAAAATCAATCTTACTTAAGCAGAGAACTTATAATAACGAGTCAAACAATTTCTGGGAAAGGGATTCACCACACCGGGAAAGGAATTCACCATACTTTATATAACAGACGCTAAAAAAGTTAGCAGAGAACGGAATTGATTTTCTGCTGAAACAGAGAAATCGTATTAAATTACTTTTTCTAAGTTAAGGTATACCTTTGCTAAATATTGCTAGTGAGTCATTAAACCGAATATGTGTGAGTTGCTTCATTAAAGCTCCATCTCCTTTGGAGGTATCTCAAGGCTCTTTACCGGTTGGCTGGCGTATTTCGGGAGAGTATTACACACGACTCAATAGTGTGCGAAGAGGCCACACGGTGCAGGACTTCTCCCATATACAACCCTATAAAAAGTAATTATAATATTTAATGCTAGAAATTGCATTTAAGAGGAAAATGGAATTTAGTTATAGTAAAATGTGTGAAAATAGAGTTTTTACCAGCAACCCATATCCTTTGTCTAAATAACAACAGTAAGAAAATTTTCAATAATTGTAAATAATTTATTTAACAAATCGTTGAGTTTAAGATCAACAATGTTCTTTGCTATTCTTAATAAATATATATATTTTTTTTATCACAAAATCCGTGTACAAAATCTTTTATCCATTTCTATTCTCTTATGTAAGCCGTTTACCAGGATGAGTAGTGTGTATCGTAAGCCAAGGGGGCACCATAACTGTGCACTACTGGAGCAGCAGCGTAAGATTTGATGATGGGAGCGGGAGCAGCGTATGAGTGGTGCACCAAAGGAGCAGCGTGAATGGTCTTCACTACAGGAGCTGAGACATAGCTGGTCTTCACGACGGGTGCAACCACATCCTCGACAACATGAGCTGAGCTGTGCACAATCGATTGGCTTTGATGGGAGACAGCAGTGGGAATGCTCTTCACCACTGAGCCCACTTTAGCCAAGACTGGTTCTTGGTAGGCAACAGCGGCTGGTGCTGAGTAGACAAGTGGGCTTTCATACAGATGGCTGGGAGCGGCAGCGGCAACGGCGACGAGAGCAGCAAGGACAAACTGTAGAAAAGAAGAAACGAAGTTAATAAAATTCCAACTTCGGTAATGGAATTGTGCTCCTTAATGCAACTTACCAATTTGTACATTTTGTTAGGTTATGTTATTTGATTTCGTAGGAAAGAACGATTTTTGACTTATGAGCGTTGTTAGCTGATTGATGTCTTTCCGTTGAGTATCCAATGCTTTTATACTCTTAACAGTTCATGCTTTGGAATATAATAGAAATTACATTGAAACACTAATAGACGCATTCAATAATCGTAACAATAACAATAGCAATAACAATAACAAAGAATGCTTCAAAAAATCCACTGAAACGTGCAAGTCATATACGACGCATGCGCCACGGAACCGACGCTTTGGTTAGACATACTCTATACAGTTCATATATATACATACATATGCATGCATACTGAAGCAGTGACAGCGAGGGCGATTACTCATATAAACATAAACAACGCAGGTGCGCGCTCTTTCGCACACCGCATAGCGGGAGCTGAAAGCAATTACGGTATGATGCTGAGATAAAAGCAAAAAGAAAAAAACCCATTTTATTTTTCAAACAATTAAAGCAAAACTCACTCTTATTTTCATTACGTTGTGCTTTGGCGCTCATTAGCCCACAGCCGAACTTTAACCAAACGCTTCAAGTCGCGACTTGTGTGTTATTTGCCCACAGCCTCGCACGTCTACCCTCGAAAGGTTATTGTAACGTTGTCGCATTAAAGAACAATAAAGATTCAGAGCAAACAACCACCTCTTTTGTTATAAAAATAGAATTTATTTCTTTAATTGATTGGCGTTTTATTGATTCTGTTTTGGTTTTACGTGTTCCTGCTCATTGATCGGAAATGTTGTCTGCATGGGCGGTAAGTTAGCGGATCTCATTTTTCTTTTGCTATTTATGTAAGTATTGTTCTTACTGGCGTAGACAACGCTTACACGATTTTAGCCGAATTTCTGAAGTTGCGCCATTTATTCTTTTATCTCGCTGCTTAGCCATTTGGAGATACCAAATAGAGCCAGATCCTTCTCTACCTGCTCTTTCCAACGGCTTCCTCTATCTCTGCTTCCACCGGCTGGTACTGCATGTAAAACTTTCAAAGCTGGATTTTTCATATCCATCCGGACCTAGCCAGAGTATTCGCTGTACAATGCTCTTGTCGCCGTATATCTCATACAGCTCATTTTTCCATCGTTCCTAACTAACGAAGGATCATAAATCTTACGCAAACATTTTGCTCGAAAGCTCCTAACGCCGACTCATCAGATGTTGCAATCTTCCATGCCTCCGCACCATACAGCACGACGGGAATGAGGAGCGACTTGTAGAGTTTGGTCTTCGTTCGTCGAGAGAGGACATTACTGTTCGATTGCCTACTACTACTTGCAGGAGTGATTCTGCGTTGGATTTCCAGCTTATATCGTTGTTGGTGTTAATACTGGTTCCAAGATAGACGAAGCTATCTACGAATTCAATGTAACGACTGTCAACAGTGACATGGGAACCGAGTCACGAATGCGATGCCTGTTTGTGTGACGCCAAGAGATATTTCGTCTTGCCCTCCAGTCCCATATCCTTCGCTTCCTTATCCAGTCTGCAGAAAACAGAACTCACGGCGTGATTGTTGAGACCAATAATGTCAATATCATCGGCGTACGCCAGTAGCTGTTCACTCTTATAGAAGATTGTGCCTTCTCTATTCAGCTCGGCAGCTCGTATTGTTTTCTCCAGCAATAAGTTATAAAAGTCTCATAATAAGGAAGAACACCGTCTGAAACCTTTTTTGGTAACGAACAGCTCGGACCTCTCGCGATCCTGACGGAGAATAAAAAAAAAAATTTTTGTGTAGATAACAAAGGTGAAGCGTAGCGACCCTACATACATTCCGCAATAAGTTTACTATGTCTTCGTATTCAACTCAAATTAAAGCTCACCTATCCAAAGAGCTTGGACCTTGTCTGTGTGGCTTCAGACTTAAAGCAGAGACTCGGCTTTAATAGCACAAGCGGACACTTCGAAACGCTGTTGTTATATTTCTTGATGTGATATCCCATTATTTTCCCGTGAAGCTCCAGTAGACAATGTACAGATATCATGCCCGTCGTTATGCTAATGAAGAATCGATCTGGAAGGATAAGATGTTTGGATTTTTTCGCGTCCAGCTTTGGTCATAGCTGTTTGGTCGCGTTACACGTTATCTCGTTCAGAAGTTGGAAATTGCACAAAACCAGTTCGGAACCACATGAAAAATGCTCAATATACAGAGAAGGTCGATTTATGGGTACCAAATGAGTTAAGGGGGAAAATCCTCATTGAACGAACTTCCATCTGCGAGCACGAACACTGCAGCAACATAGCAAAATCGACCCATTTCTGAAGCACCTGGTGATTGATATTGAAAAGTGAATCACTCACAGCAACTTAAAACGAAAACTGCCGTGGTCGAAGAAAAGTAAGCCGGTATAAACGGTCTCCAATCACGTATTGACTGGCAGGAAGATCTTGTTTTCCTACCCAAACTCTTAACAACTGTACGGTCAGCAATTGAACCATCTGAAGGACGCAATCGCCCAGAAGCGCTCAGTTTTGGCCAACATAAGGCGAATTGGTTTTCAGCAAGACACCGTCAAACAACACACAACGATAGTGACTTGCCTTAAGCTCCGAGAGATTGGTTGGGAGGCTCTTTTGCTTCCATTTTATAGTCCGGACCTCACACGAAGTGATCGTCATTCGCTGTTTTCTAAGTCCAATTATTTGACTGGTAAAGAATTGGCCGTAAGATTAGCTAGTGACAATCGATTGTTCCAATCTTCTGTCAATGGAAATAAGAGTTTCTATGATTTCGGATAACTCCCCACGTGTTTCTTTTCGAAATGTTATTATAAAGATATAGGAAATAATCCGACTAAAACTACGGGTCGATTCCCAAAAACGCGTTCTGATGGAAACCCAATTTCAGTTATGTTTTTTTTACAGAGCGGCATGACGAAATCATTTTCGGGCAAGTTCCTCTTTATTAAAAACATTCCAGTTGCTTCTTTTCTTCCAAATAAAATAATTTATTTAACAAATCGCTGATAAAGTCAACAACGTTAATTTCTAGTCATTCTATTCTAAAAATGATTTTCTTATCACAAATTCAGAGTACAAAATCTTTCGTCCTCTTCCTTTCTCTCACCCAAACCGCTTACCATGAAGAGTAATGAGTATCGTAAGCCAAGGGGGCACCATAACTGTGCACTACTGGAGCAGCAGCGTAAGATTTGATGATGGGAGCGGGAGCAGCGTACGAGTGGTGAACCAGAGGAGCAGCATGGATGGTCTTCACTACAGGTGCTGAGACATAGCTGGTCTTCACGACGGGTGCAACCACATCCTCGACAACATGAGCTGAGCTGTGCACAATCGACTGGCTTTGATGGGAGACAGCAGTGGGAATGCTCTTCACCACTGAACCCACTTTAGCCAAGACTGGTTCTTGGTAGGCAACAGCGGCTGGTGCCGAGTAGACAAGTGGGCTTTCATACAGATGGCTGGGAGCGGCAGCGGCAACGGCGACGAGAGCAGCAAGGACAAACTGTAGAAAAGAAGAAACGAAGTTAATAAAATTCCAACTTCGGTAATGGAATTGTGCTCCTTAATGCAACTTACCAATTTGTACATTTTGTTAGGTTATGTTATTTGATTTCGTAGGAAAGAACGATTTTTGACTTATGAGCGTTGTTAGCTGATTGATATTTTTCGTCTGCGTATCGCTGGTTTTTATACTTTAATCAAGTTCATTAAAAAATGTTAAGGCATTGCTTTAAAGAAACAAGTCATATACCGTTCACATATTCAACCGTAATTTTTGTTTTGATCACCAATTCACTCATACGTACACACAGTGATAAATATCATACATATTTATGTATGTCAGTGACTGCGCTGGTACTCTTGTGCTTACACAAAACAGGTGCGCAGTCTCTTTTTACAAATATTTCTCTCTGTAAAAGTATCTTTATCGTTGATCCATGTTTTGAAGGTTATAAGAAATGTCGAAGATCTAAGCCTCATTTTATTATCTTTGCAGCGGAAGTCTATACCTTTATAGAAGTTTGTGCTTTTGAAGAATTAAACGCCCAAAATTTTAACAAAGAAATCTGACGATAAACTATTTAATTTGTAGTTTTAGCGTTTTGGGCTTAAAAGGTGTCTCAGCATAATAACAGCTATAATTGGGAAACAGTGTTGCTCACTGAGTCAGTGGGATCAGCTTTTTCATATGGATATGGCTATGTCTCCAGTAATTTAACCTTTAATTAGTCAAATGCTAATTGGATAGTTGGTGGTTAGTCGATTAAAAAGGGAGGTGTAGGACCTGAACAAGCTTGTGTGCTGCCCTGCTTAACTCAACTATCCTTTGCAAACATTTGTTTTAATGAATTTTTTGCTTTCTTCCATCCATGCGCACCCATCTCCATAAGCCTAGCGGTAGGAGCACCACGAACGATTTGACGCCCCAACCAGTTGAAAACAGCCCACATGAAAATGTAAGGCTCTGACGTTTCATCTTCCTGGGTGTAGAATATAATCTCTACTGATTCTAATGTACTTAACTTGAGGGATGATATATCAGGGTTACCATCGATGCATCTGCAAGAATGTTTAGTTCTTTTTTGTTTAGTGTTAACCAGCATAGCTTACTAGTACATCTTACATTCGAGGTGTTTCGGAACCCTTGAGTTCACCTAAAGAAAATTTTGAGATTATCGATGGTGATAGCCTCGGTAGCGAAGCCAGCGCATCCACCTTTTCATTACCTTCTACATTAAATCGAAAAATGGCAATTTTGACTGGCCTCATCCGGTTAAACCACCCGGGTTTCCTCTGATGGTTTTATTTGAAGAGAAAAGTTTAAATCTTTAGGACCGTTGCCGAATATGAAGAAATTCGAATAGTAATTGTCTGCCTGATAAACAGCTAAGGGGCGGAAGCCGATGGGTTGCCGGCCTAGCTCTGCCGAATCCCCCAAAAGGTTACCGTGAGATAAAATATCGCATATAAGGTCATAACGAGCTGTTGGCTACGTATACCGTGTAGCAAATCTTGCAAAAAACCCCATGAAAAGAAGATCGACACGCACCACCTCATCGTCAAATTTAAATTTCAGGGATTTCGGGTGAAATTAAAAGAAGGCCAGGTCTTTCATTCCATACGTTTTCTTAGAGAAGCTTCATTTGGATTAGTCCTCTCAGCTATATTGGAATAATTATTTGGTCTAATAATGTCTTCTCTTGGACGATCATATTATGGATGATGAAAATTATTTCACAGAATATCCGTGAAAATCAAACTCAAGAGGAATGCGCAAAAGGATATCGAGGAAAAAGAGACCACACTGCACAGTCGCCACCTCAAACTCGACTGAGCACTTGCAGTTCGAATCCTTGGCAGGCTGTGGGCTCACCACCCATTCCACTGAAAGAAACCAGAATAAAATTTTATAATCACTGTTGAGTTTATGTGACAGTGTTGAATTTAAAGCTGAAGTGATTTTCGGCCGTACTCCTCCTCCGACTCGTGGTGCGCGTCTCGGTGTTTTTCCAACAAATGGAGCAACCTACAGTATATACTAAATCGTCTCCGAACAGTTGATGATTTTTTATGAGAAGCCTTTATGTCATATCAGAAAGGCACTCGGAAGACCTGAAATTTCCTGTCAAAGCGCGACCGCATTTAGAAATATTAATGTAATTTTTCACTTCCATTAATTTTCCTTAATACGTAGGTGTAGGTCAGACCAGGGTCCGAAGCCGGTCATAACGAATAGCAGTACGCAATGTTCTTCACTCGGATATCGCGTTCGGCATTTCGTAAATTATAAAATAATAAATAATTTCACAAAATTATAGAAACTAAAATAAGACTTCTTTCATTTTTCAACTTCAACATAGCACACAGAAACACAGGAAACATCAGCTTCTATCCAATAACCCTCGATTACCATTTAATATAATTATTCCTTCAAAATAATAAATAAATATATAAATAATACAACCATTAAATTTTGTCTTTTTATAAAACAATTTATTTAACAAATCGCTGATAAAGTCAACAACGTTAATTTCTAGTCATTCTATTCTAAAAATGATTTTCTTATCACAAATTCAGTGTACAAAATCTTTTGTCCATTTCTATTCTCTTCTGTACGCCGTTTACCAGGATGAGTAATGAGTATCGTAAGCCAAGGGGGCAGCATAACTGTGCACTACTGGAGCAGCAGCGTAAGATTTGATGATGGGAGCGGGAGCAGCGTATGAGTGGTGAACCAGAGGAGCAGCATGGATGGTCTTCACTACTGGAGCTGAGACATAGCTGGTCTTCACGACGGGTGCAACCACATCCTCGACAACATGAGCTGAGCTGTGCACAATCGATTGGCTTTGATGAGAGACAGCAGTGGGAATGCTCTTCACCACTGAACCCACTTTAGCCAAGACTGGTTCTTGGTAGGCAACAGCGGCTGGTGCCGAGTAGACAAGTGGGCTTTCATACAGATGGCTGGGAGCAGCAGCGGCAACGGCGACGAGAGCAGCAAGGACAAACTGTAGAAAAGATGAAACGAAGTTAATAAAAATCCAACTTCGGCTATGGAATTGTGGTCCTTAATTCAACTTACCAATTTGTACATTTTGTTAGTTTTTGTTATTTTTTTTCGTAGGAAAGAACGATTTTTGACTTATGAGCGTTGTTAGCTGATTGATGTCTTTCCGTTGAGTATCCAACGCTTTTATACTACTCTTGCGTTTGCGTCTTACTTTTTAATTAATCAGTCATTATGATTCATACACATACACACATAGCCAATTAATGGGTTAACAACTCGCTCACACACGAATAGCAGTACGTAGCAGAGAGAGCAACTGTGCTATACCTCAAGGCATTACCGCACTACATTGCGAGGTATTTTAGTTGAAGATATTTTTTTTTCGTAAAAATGTAAAAAATAAGTCTCCTTTACTTATCACATTGCTTTACATATTAACGACCGCTCGAATGTAAAAGTGGAAAATTCTGAAATTCATCAATGGAAGGGAAGTTGTCCCATCATATATTACTTCTTCTTCCAAGTTTATAGTATTTTTGTTTTTGTATTCCCGCTACTACCTTGTGTGAAGGGATATATTTGGTATTCTAATTACAGGGCTAACCATTTTGCGGTTTTTAAAATAAACGTAAACAAATTGCATTTAAAATATTTCTTTATTATGAACCTAGAACTATTTTTCCACAAGCTTCACACATACGACCTTGAACTTATAGGCCCTTTGATATTTGTCGTAGTGGGCGCATATCATGATGCCATGAAAACTGAAGAATACAGTGAACTAACCTTAACGTTCTAATAAATTCCACCACTTCAATGATTGAACCGAAGTTTCCCCAACATATTGTATCTTAAGACTATCTCAACAACAACCATAATTTATTTTAGTAATTCTGCAGCGTCGTTGACTTCTTTTGTGACTTCCTAGCAGCCACCATTTGAATATGTTTTGTTTAGTATTAAAGAATTCCGGTAGAAATTTAGCTGTCATATATTTAGTACTTAAAATATTTGAAAAAATGTCATGACATGATGCATTCGATATGCCAACATCATCACCGACGTCTCGCTTCGAAATTCGGTAATCTTTTATAACCATTATTTTCATTAGATGTGCTAGAGCATCCAGTGCGTTCAAATTGTTCACGGCTTATTTGGAAACGCTTTTAGAACTCTCTTCTTTTTTTCTTCTTCAATAACGTATTCAACGCTTACGCAATTATAGCTGAATCAACAGTAGCGCGCCGTTCGTTTCTTCATCTCGTTGTTTGGCACCAACCAATTGGAATTATTAATCTATACCACCACGCTCTCGGCCTAATCCTTTCGACGGAGTTGAGGTATTTCTTCTCATCAGAAGTCGTCAATGACCACCCTTGTGGAGTTCAGCTTTGATCCGTCGAGAGAGGATTTTATAGCAGCTGTGGCCAAGAGTTTTTCTGTGTTTGATTTCTAGGCGGACATTTTTGTTGGTACTTATAATAGAATCTACATATTATATATAGATATATAGCATCATATCACAGTTATTAGTTTCAATAGTGCGTGTTAACTAAGACCAGCATGAGCTGACTGTCCATCAGTATTGCGCACTGTCCTTTTTCACTATCAGACCAAGAGCTCAAAAACGGAGTTCGTGAAGGCATTGAGGGCATACAGCAGCCACTTTTCGAATTGGTGTTGGAAAGTTTCATAAAAAGTTCACTGTTCTGAAAGCGTAGCCGTGCCGACCGTTGGACTGATATTGTTTTCCAATATTAATGTCATATCTCACAAACATTTATCTCAAAATAATGCCACTTTTCTTTGAATATCGAAATGAGACCTCTTATTGGAAAGTCCAGTGTGTCTTAAGATAAGACTTTGTAAGAGTTATTGAGGCAGCGGCACTCACTACACGATATGTTATTGTTCGAATAGCTCAGATTATAGGTTCTTGAAATAGGTTTTCAAACTTAAAGAAGGGAACTAGCAACTTGAGACGAAAATGTTGTCTGAGCCAAAAGATATTATCAACAACAGAAATTAATACGAGCATACAGCTCTCCAAATTAGATATATTTGTATATTAGTAATTGAGTTATTATAGTAAATAACTTTAATAGTGCAGATTAGCTGGTAATTATTTTCATTACTAAAATCTTAGCAGATTTCTTTCCTCTTTTTATTTATTTTGCTTTGTTCAAAACTTCATTGAGACGTTTCAGATACCATAATGTCTATATGTATTGTATACCTATGTATTTATGTACTTTTTTCAACGTCAATGTCCGCTTATGTCATAACTTCCTTCTCAACATGTCACGCCAGTTTTAGTTATCTATCAAAAGCTAGACATTTGTGTATTTTTTAGCTTCTAGGTGCCGTTAGTAATGACGTATATGCCAACAACTACTTTAAAATATATATGTACATATATATATTTCCATTTAAAAAAGGTACATACATGAATGGTAAAATTGTCTCATTAGCGCCACACAAACTGGTTCAAAAGGTGGCTATAATAGATTTCTATGATCGTGTACACCACACCTACACATATACATAGGTATGCATACATATAGCCAACATATATATGCAGCAGCACACCCGCACAATGGTCTTTAAACATATGCATTCACAGATTCCATTGAACATACGCATATTTCGTGCCCCAATGAACGGCTTCGAAGGCCACCAACGTCATCAAGGCAGCAGCGAACGCATTGTGATCGATTTGGAATTCAATGCGCACCATTTTACAAGCGACGCATGCGTCTCATTACATTAGCATACATATGCATCTAAGTACATGTGTCTCATGGGTAATTACGGTATAAATACTACGCCTACCAGGAAGAACGGTATCAGTTCTTTTAATCATTCAGTCAATACAGACCTTCAAACAACAATTAAAAAAAATCTCAAAATGTTCAAGTTGGTAAGTTCACATTCAAAACCAAAATCGTTACACAGTTATGTACATATGTATATATAAACATACGCACTAAAAATTATGTGTTCATATGTCGATTTATTATTCTACTAATTTATTTTATTTTTTTTTTAACCACAGGTGGTATTGTCTGCTCTCCTGGCCGTAGCTGCTGCTCGTCCCAGCCACATCGAATCACATCCAGTGGTGTACTCAGCGCCGTTCGCTTCCGTTGCCGTGCACGAGCCTGTACTGACGAAGGTTGGTTCGGTGGTGAAGAGCATTCCTACTGCTGTCTCCCATCAGAGTCAATCGATTGTACATAGCTCTGCTCATGTTGTCGAGGATATTGTTGCACCCGCTGTCAGGACCAGTGTAGTGTCCACGCCAGCGTTAGTGAAGCATATTCCTGCTGCTCCTGTCCTGCACTCTGCTGCACTACATCATGTCGCTGCTGCTACCCCATTGTTGCATCACGTGCCAGTTGCTCACTACGCTGCACCTTTGGCGCACTTGCATGCTGCTTCGCCTCTCACATACACTGCCACTGGTTTGTGGTGAACGATCTGAGTTACGGACGAACTTAGTTGGACTGCCTTAATTAATTTTCTTTTATTTTTTTTTTGTTTGAGTTTATGTTATTTCTTGAGAGAATTATTTATTTATTAATAAATCGTTGAAATTATTAATTCGAAGAAAGAAATCCAAAAAAGTTGTTTTATATTTCCAAGAGTAGAAAATTGAACAGCGCAGGCTGCGTTATGGTGGCATACGCTGACGACTTCGCTCTAATAGCAACAAGCAAACATCAACAAACTGTTAGCGATCTAATCCAAAATACTCTATACACAGTTGGGTACTGTTGCAAGGACAGCAAGATGTTAACCCAGTTAAAACCGAAATCTATTTTTACCAGGTGGTACCAACCTCCCCCTTTTAAACCACCTAAACTAAAGGACATGGACATTAATCTCTCTACCGAAGTCAGATATCTTGGGATGAACTTAGATCGGAAACTCAACTGGAACCGGAACACGGCGGAAAGGTCAAGGAAGGCTATAAATGACGTTTACGTTAGCAAACGCCGAAATTGAAAGAAGAACCAGTCCTATTCTCCGACGTCACTATATGGTGGCCAGCTATCGACCAAGTTACTTTCAGTAGAAAATTAAAGAGTATTGAACGGTTGGCTGCTTTCTTGGTAACAGAAGCACTACTTTCAACTCACTCAAAAGCACTGGTAATTCTTCTCAACTTCCTTCCTCAGGACCTACATGGAGATTATAAACGAAATGCAACTCAACCTTGAAAAAACTTTAGTGTTGTCCTAAATCATTATCTCTTGCAAAAGAGCCGAAAGAGCTTAACTACACCACCTGCAGTATGTGCTTCGTCAATCTTTTCTCCGATAATCCCATACAAAATAGAATAGGAAAACACCAAGGCTTCATCTTTAGAGGCGGCTCAAAGTTCGATAGAAAAGTTGGATGTGGAATCCACTCTCCGAACAGAGCTTTTTGCAATCATGGAAGCCGCCGTGTGGCTACTCAAATCTACGGCAGCTGTTACGATATACGATGGTCAAGCTGACATCAGATCTCTATAATGTAAAAGTACACATCAAAATGAGGAAGTATTCTGAACGAACTCTCGTCTCAAAACAACCCTGCTGTGGTCTACATACGCGGACACAGTGACATCCCAGGCAATTGTATTGCAGACGACCTAGCGAGAGAAGGAAACATGCTCACGATTCAAAGTATTTGCTTAAGCTGGCCTTCAAGATGGCTTAATGGGAACATGTGCAAACGTGTCTAGTCAGCTATGGCCTAAGTTGGACGGGTAAAAATCAAAATATCTTCTCCTTCTACAGCGTTTGATTTTCTAGAATTTCTAGGCCATTGTTTAATGGGGCTTCACGGGAAAATAATGACATACCAAAGAAACTGAAAAATATTTGCATTCACGTGAAAAAGGCTGGGTATACAAAAAAGCTCGACGTATCGGTGGCACATGAGTTAATGAGAACAACCTCAAGGACCGAACTCCCATCTGCAAATCACTGCGGAATTGTAACAAACTCGACCCAGTTCAGAAAGCCATAAGCTGGGTACCCAGAAGCTCCGAAAGCTTGGTTGGGAGGTTCTTATACATATATCCAGCTGGTAGTCCGGACCTATCTCCAAACTTTTTACCAATACGGAAAAGGGTTTCTAAGAGAGATCCGTAATGATACCACTCAAAATGGCAAAACTATTTTACTTTGCAATGAGCTTTTGGAAATAATAACTCAGGGTCACGTTGATATACCCATAAAAATACTAAACCTGCTCTTGCTTAATGCAATTTGGTCTGTTACAACCTCACCAGTGGCTCCGAGGTAAGCCATTTTGTCTGGCTTTTCATTACCATCTATGATACATACGTGTGACTTGGAACCCAAAGCATATTGACTATATTTACCCTGAATACTCTGCTAATAGCCTCTGAGTATATTGCTTCGACCGATTTCAAATGTTGAGATGATTTGTGACTCTTCCCTAACGAAAATGTTCAACGATTACATTGATGAATAAAAGTCGTTCCCTTTTCGATTCCTCTGTGAAAATGAAATTCCATACTGAAATAAATATTTACAATGAGAATAAAAAAATTTAGCGAATCGCATTTTCTTTACTTTACAAAATGATTCAAGCAGCCTATTTATATTAGTGATATTTGTGTGTCGAAAATATACGAGTATGTAAATCATTAATATAAATTATTATCCAAAAATATCTCTTAAAAATTTCAGTGTCCAATTCGAAATATTTTAGCAGCAAGAGCCGTTTTAATGATCGAGCGTCCAGCAAGTTCGAGAGATCGGGCAGAACCCCTGCGGGTTAGGGGTTCAAGAATTTACCCGCTGTAAAGCATGACTGTCGTATGAGGCGACTAAAACCCAATAGTTCCCGCAACAGTAGGGTCTTTAAACCGGAACGACGCGGATTTTTTATCCGGCCAAGGACCTCAGATATACTTTGGGGAATATTTTTGCGGTTACAACAGCAACAACAACAACAACAACGGGGCACGGACAGAACTTGGAAGCGCGTTTCATCGGGATCTCATTTTTACAGCTCTTAGAAAAGGGTGCCGGTGATAGCAAATAAGAATAAATATTCGATCGAAAAATTATTGCGATCTAACTTCAATAATAAATTATCTTCTATTTGTATTAAAAAAAGGTGGACAAAGTATTATTGATTGAATGGATTTTTTGTAAGTGATTTTTTTTCGAAACTTCCAAAAATTTTAGAATTTTCTAATTTCTGCGGTATATAAGTTAGTAGTAGGTAGGTAGTAGGTAGTATTAGAAGAGACACACAAATTAATAAAAAAAATAATTGGTTCGACTGTTGCATGGCACGGACTCAATCACCGGACTGAAACTGCAGCCGCTTCAGAAAACTCATTAGAAAATTCTAATATTTTTTTATACTGAAAATAGTTTTTTTTTTTTTTGGATGCTGAAATATCAAAAACTTTTGGCTGAATATTTCATTTACTGCAGTTATTTCCTTCCCACAGCCTCAAACACTCAACGCAAGCAGACTTTTTCTTCATTAGCGTAGGCACCGTAGTCAAACGTAAGTCAAAGTATATCAAGTGCAGTCGTCATTTCGTTGACTGCGGAATTCACCCCTGCCAATGCGCAAAGAACCGAAAATCTTCCATAAAGCCTTTCTCCGGAAAAATCCTAGTGCCGACTCATCGAATGTCAACAGCATTCACGATTCGGTACTATTTACTACTTTTTCAATATGTAATTTTACCTACCCAGGACAAAAGAACACCTGAATTGGGTTTCAAGGCTGACATTATTACAGGTGTTGTTACTGGTTTAACCAAAAGAAAGTATATATCTTAAATTAGGCCTGTCAGCGGTGACGTTGAATCCAAGTTGCGAATGTGATGACTGTTTGTTTGATGACAGAACATATTTCGCCTCTTCATTGCTAACTACCAGGCTAAGATTATTTTTTTCATTTCCAATATTTTGCCAGAATCATTAACCCAAAATTCCGAAATATCAATTTTCAATATCATATTTATTACTCTAAGCAATCACAACTTTCTCAAAGAAGCCGTCCAAGCATAATCCATACTTTAAACCGTTATATAACACTTTGATCATCGTTTCCTCTTTGCGTTTACCACAAACCGTGAGCGGTGTAGGTGAGTGGAGAAGCGGCAGCAACCACAGCAGCACCATAGGTGGAGTGCACCAAAGGAGCAGAGTGAACAACAGGGGCAGCAGCGGCATAAGTTTGGTGAACAACCGGAGCAGCGGCGGCATAAGTTTGATGAACAACCGGAGCAGCAGCGGCATAAGTTTGGTGTACAACTGGAGCAGCCGCCACAACTGGAGCGCTATAGGTAGTTTTCACAGCTGGAGCAACGACATCCTCAACAGCGACTGCGGAACTGTGTACAACGGTGGAGCTCTGGTGTGAGACAGCAGTGGGTACACTCTTCACCACCGAACCGACTTTGGCGAGCACAGGTTCTTGAACGGCAACAGCGGCTGCGGGAGCGGAGTACACAACGGGTGTTTCAACGACATGAGGAGCAGCAGCAGCTACGGCGAGGAGAGCAGACAATACCACCTGGAGAATACAGAAAAAGACACAGCGAACATTAGAATTTCATTTGTTATTAAATAATATATAATTTTTCAACTAGAAATACTCACCAATTTGAACATTTTGATTTTGGGATTTTGTTTCTTGTAGGTCTGTATTGACTGTGAGAAAGTTGTTGCGAGAACTGTTGCTGAAAGTGTCAACTGCGCGGCTTTTTATACGATTTCATGGTCACAAGGGTGGTATTTACATATGCATAAATATAAATATGTATTTATTTAGGGATTAAAAATGACAAGAAAAAAGCAGTTAAGTAATCAAAAGAAAACTGCTCAAGTGAGTGTGAAAAAAATCAATCAAAAAGTAATTGTGCTCGCATTATCGACAGCCTTCAAAGCAGATCAAGTTTGAATAAATTCGGTTCGTTTGTCTACCTCAAGTAGCTCAGGTAATTATTAAATTATCAATATGCTATGATATACGGTTGATATTTTCAGTGCCCGCAGCTATTTGCCTTATTGATTGTGAATTGCTTTGGTGTGGGTGTTGTCGAACTTCTTTCCGAGCGCTTTGGGCGCGTGTCAAAGAATATGAAGTAGCTTACGGAAAGCAATACATGCACATATTTACATACATGCATATGTATGTAGGCACATTTGAAATTAGAAATAACTGCGAATCTATTCCACAAATACGTGCTTACTACAATTGAATTATTGTAAATATCCCTTCTAATGAACTCTGCGGCAGAAGTCATGAACTTGCATCAATCATTTATCCCCGCACTGCAGCTGCTGCTAATGTAACTTGCATCATTGGACGCTTGTACGCATGCAGCTCTGCCTTTACAACTCTAGTTTATGGCACATACAATATTTTTGGACCATTAGACTTTTTACTATGCAGACAATTCCAGCTCGATTCAGGCCATGGAACAAAGCACCACATTGCCTGTCATTCGCTAATTACCAGTCAAAATGTTCGAAAGAGTCATCGAAGATCGGACTCAACGGATAGATGGATGGATTTGAAAGAGATAATCTTCAAAAAATAAATGCCAAAGAATGTTCTTTCGAATGATAATAAACATTTCTCATTAAATTTGAATTTTCTGCAATTTTTAAGAAAAAAAAGTGGGGTACCTCGAAATGGATGGATGGTTGTTGCTCCTGCCGTTTGCTTTACTTTATATTTTACATGCTCTCTTACAATTGTTTGTTTGTTGGGAATTTTGTTTTTAGTTTTAGACACCGTATTTTCTATAGGACTTGATTTTCTATGAGTGATATGTTTTGAAAACCAAATTTAAGTCCCACTATTTTTTAGGCATCCTCCATATTCGTATTCAGCTGTGCTTCCATTTAAAGGTTCACAATATTCCCTGTGGATTCAGGTTGAAATCTCATATTTCATGCACTAATTTTCGCATTCGTATAAGTTTTTGTGAATTTAATTCGAGTGCTCTTTTGTTAGTGAATTGAAAAGTAATTGGATGAAAGCTTCCAAAGGTTTCAGCTTTTGTTCGCTGAAATAATTATCTGATATTTGTGGAATATATCATATTTTAAGCATCCTTGAATTAGCTTTTTTTTTATGGAGGTAATCAAATTTCTAACGATTTTCGGTGGGTGCTTCGAAATCTTCAAATAAACGTTCAAACTTAGAGAGAAATGTTAATGACAGCTGTTTGTGTGTCGCCAAAACGATAAACGATATACACACAAGGTTTATAGAATACAGGGTTACGTAAAGGGAAAAATAATATATTTAATGACGAAGTTGGTTCAATTTGTGGGTTGCCGAAAATTTTAAAAACAATTTTCATAATTTTATCTATAAAATAACTTAAAATTTGACTATACAAACCTAAAGCCTTGGACTCAATTTTTTTAAGTTAATAATAATTATAACTAAAATATTCTGAATAGTTTTATGTCGAACAAATATATTTTAATTTTCAAAAGTTTTTAATTTAAAAATATTAAGATTATTTTTAAGCAAAAATTTTCTTTATCTGCTGCGGGAAATGGGTGATGCTTATTATGTTAAAAAATCGTGTTTAAAATATCGAAGAGGTGAAAAAGTGAGCAGTGGGTATAATTTAGAAACAAAATAGCTTGTGTAAATGATTCATTTTAATATGTTCAGAAAAAATAAAACTAAGATGATTTGTGATAAAAGTTTTTTTTGCTGAAAACTTGAAATTTAGGTATCAAGAAAATCGGCTAGTTAAATATTAAATCTATCAACATTTGCATATGACAGAAAAAATTATTATTTTTTTTTTTTTAATGGTACTTAGGTATTGATGCGGTACACCGCCCTTTCTGTAAGACTTTTATTCAAATTCGGTAGTCTTCGGCCACCCGGACCATGGTTCTATTAAAACAGGCTACGCCTGTGTGTTTTCTTTTGTATAAGAAAATTTTACCCATAACTATTTTATTACCGTCAAATACATATATATATTACAAAGGAAAAAATTACTCTTTTTGATAATCATCCAAAAGTTATAGAAAATTAATTTTAATAAAAAATTAAAATAAATTTTGTAATTGCGGTCGCCACTTGGCAGCGATTGTTCACCCCTCCGACTGTATTTCGGATATGAAATAAAGTTCCTCATAAGAAACCATCAGCCGTTCGGAGGCGCCTTAGTATAAATTGTAGGTCCTTCCATTTGTTGGAAAAAACAACAATACGCAAAACCGCAAATTGGAGGAGGCTCTCGGCGGAAAATTATATATACAAACATATATATCAAGTCTCGCTCTCACTATATATATATGACGAAGCTGATTCCGTGACGTCTTTGGTTGTCGTAACCTTGTGTATTCCAGAAACCTTGATACAAATTTATATATCTGAGAGATAAAAAAATTTGTGAAAATGAGCACATCAATTCACTTTCACATAGAATTTTGAATTCTCCATGTCTACAACATGCCAAGTGTGTTTTTGATAATTTTATTTTATAATTTTTTTTTTTTAAGTTTTAATTGAGCCAAATTTTGTAGAGTCTATTTATTGAGACTTTCAACGCATCTTCCGAAAAAATCCATTTTGCTGATACTGATTGGGCTTTACTTCATTTTTTTTAATTTTCCTCGAAATTGGTTTTGATTAGTTTGCTTGTAGCCACGCAATTTAGTCTTGTTTTCATTACGACGATTATTATTTCTACCATAAAAGCGATCTTATCATTATTTCTACTTTCGGCTCAACGTACTTTGGCTGCTACTGCTGCATTACTTGCAGTTTAAGTGCGTGTTGGAGGTCAACGAAAAATTATTAAAAAAAATCGCTCAGTCAGTTGAATGTAGAAAAATAAGTTGAAACGAAAAGCCAAGACTAATTGAAATATTCATTTTTGATGGACTGTCTGTCTGTCTGCCTCAGTGATGCCGCCGCCACCGCCATCACCACCGTCACTGCCGTTGCTACTGTTTGTGCTGTTATTCTTCAGTGCGCTTTGGCCTTTCCGTACTAAACCAAATTAATGTTTTATTGTTATTTACAAACGCATTTTATACACAAAATAAGTGCTTGTCGTAAATCAAAAATGTTGTACTTTCAATAAAAAAATGTAAGTAAACAACCGAAATGCATTTAATTACAGAAACAATGCGAACAATTCGGAGTAATTTCGTGAAGCTTTCGAAGACTTTTGGTATAAAAAGGTAAAGTGCATTCTAATTATTCATCAGTTGAATTTGTGAACTCACATAGCACAACACAGACCTACTCGAAAACCCCGAAAAAAATAACTAAAATGTTCAAGTTGGTAAGTGATCACATACAATACTTATGTGATAACGGTAAAAGAACAGTATGATACTTATTTTTCTACATTTCAGGTGGTGTTGTCTGCTCTCCTCGCTGTAGCTGCTGCTGCTCCAGGCTACATTGCCTCGCATCCAGTGGTGTACTCTGCTCCCGTCGCTTCCATTGCTATCCACGAGCCCGTGCTGACCAAAGTAGGCGCTGTGGTGAAGAGCATTCCCACTTCGGTCTCCCATCAAAGTCAGTCGGTTGTGCACAGCTCGGCACATTATGTTGAACCAATTGTTGCACCAGTCCTTAAGACCAGCTACGTATCTGCTCCAGTTGTACATACCTATGCTGCTGCTCCAGTTGTTCTCAAAGCTTGGTAAAGGGCGAGTTGTTGGTCTGCTCCCACTATGGAATGCATGTAACCTGGAATCAGTTGTTGGACCACTGAAGTCTCTCTTTACTCCTAACATGTACCTAATATCTTATGTTTTATGTTAAAAAAAAAGAAATAAAAAATAAAAAAGAATAATAAAATGTGATATATGTGCATTTGAATGCAGAATATTAAACTAACTGTTCTTAATTCACGCTTTTATTACGGCTTCTTCGTGCACCCAGAAATGTGAGCAACTCTTTAGTGTGATGCGGCAATCAACCCGTGGGGAGTGATGCCTAGTGAAATCATTCCGGTTTAATAGTATTTTTGCAGCTTCTGTTCTCCTGATCGTGGTCAGTAACTGAAAAGAAAAAGCTCAGTCAGCCTTTGCGAAGAGACCCTGTTCTTCTTACGACCATATATGATTTACTCCGGAACAACGTTTGCAAATCGTATAAATTTACTTCCAAAATTATGGTTCGACTCGTCCGACGCATCTTAAGAGAAGTTTCACTAGGCACTACTCTAGGGTGAGTAGACAATTCAAAAGTAAAGTCCTCTCTCTAGTCCTCTCTACTAGCAGCTCTACATATCGCCCATAATTTCTGTCCTGCTATATGACGCTGAGGCCTGGGCGGTGAAAACGAGAGCAAGGTTTTGCAAACGATTTATGGTCCTCTCCGTGTGGGTGACGACAAATACCGCATATTCAATGAATTGTTCGAAATGACATTGATATAATTCAGTGAATTAAGCTATGATAAGATTTAGTGTCAACCAAATAGATGAACGCACACACCAGCTTCGAATGTGTTTGATGCGCTAATTTGTGGTGGAAGCAGAAGAACTTTCCAGTCCTCCACATCGTTGGATATATCACTTACGGGGTGGGATAATTAAGTATTGAGACTGATTATATTGCAGCGATTGTGGTAACCCTGCGACCATGAAATTAATTCCCTTTACCTTCTCCCGGCATCTTTCTACTGCTGTATTTGCCATCGCTCTAGCTTGTTTAGTTCGCCTGATGTGTTGCCTTGGGATAAATTTGTATTCGTGGTACTCATTACGAATGAAAAAAACGAAATAAAAAGCAACGCGTCGCGGTAAAATTTTGGGCCAAATTGAAAGAAAGAGATTCGGAATTGTGCACCAAAACTCTAAATGGCAGCTAGTTTTTTCAATACGACCCAAAGCTCACAATGGTTGTCTCCGTAAGCTCGCTTGAGCAAGTCGAGGGTGAAAACGATAATTATTGCTTTTTTGATAGCCGTGTAACGGTCCACAAAGAATTTCTTTTACCGAGGCAAATCTTAAATCAAATCAACTATCGGCATGTACAACAGGATACGCCCAGATATCGCTCGTAACTGGATCCTTCATCACAACGACGCGCCGTGCCACACCGCCCTCAGTTTTTGGCCTCAATTTAATCGCCGTGTTTCAACAACCGCCTTATTCGCCCGATATGTCACACAGTGACTTTTTTCGGTCCCTGGAACCAAATCGGTGGTCAAAGGAACTCATTTTGAGTCAATTGAGGGCATTCAGGCTGCCGCGAAGAGGTTACTCGCGGACATCCCAGTCGAAGCGTTCCAGAAATGTTACGAAGCATGGAAAACACGCTGAAATCGTTGTATAGCTGCCCAGTTGTATAGCTGACCGAGTTGTAAGAAAATTTTGAAATATTCCCATTTTATGGAATCTGTCTCATTACTTAATTGTCACATCTCGTAGAGAGTGATCCGGTGCTACTTGGCTTTACGAATTGGCTGCAAATCTCGTAGAGAAAAACGACTGTTGACTCGCCTTTAAGTGGTGTACACGCCAGCGAAGAAGAAATCAATTTTCGTGCATTACTTTGGCAGGGAACCGTACTTTATCTGCGCATTTTAGTTAGATTCTTTGGAATAAATCATGCCCAAAAGGAAAACAGAATCAACACCAATTGAACTCAGATTGAATTTCGAGAACCGAAACGACATTTTTCAGAACCGCAATTGCAATACAACACTTTACAGTTAAACTGTATTCATAAAGCGCAAAACCAGTTAGTGCTGCGACCTTGAAGTTCCATGCAACGTTGCTTCGTGCACGCACAATGCGTGAACATGAACTTGAGACACTTTCGGGTGGACCGCAAAGGAAAAAATGTAAACAAAATGCGGCGCAAAGTCAAATCACTTACAACAAACAAGTTGCAACAACCGTTGAACAATAATGTCATAAAACACACACACGCACACGCACACACGCAAGCCAAGGCAAATAAATAAAATGCGTGTGCGTGGTTTTTCACGGTCAGGCCTGAGTTGCGCGACTGTTGCACTCTAGTTGGGCTGCGAGGCGTGTACGGCAGTTAAATTTGGGTTTACGAGCGAGTCTAAAACGAATAGAAAACAACAACAAACATGCGATTTCCAGAGCCCATTAAATGACTATTGCGCTGTGTGTGTGTGTGTGTGTGTTTGTGTGTGTGTCAGCATGTGCGTGTTGCAATCGCAAACAGTAAATGCCGACTTTAATGGCTGCATAGTTGTTGCCTGAAGAAACAGACTTAATATCGCGTTTAAAGTAGCAGAATGCTAAAATATATACACAAATATATATAAAGACGTGTAAATATATTTATTAAAAACAAAGTAATTTGTTTGCTGTTGTTTTTGCTGTGCGAGTATGTCAACGGCTTGCTGTGGTGGGCACAAACCCCATATTTTTTGCAGCCAACACATGCACTCAAGTAATAACGGTGTTGAGAGGTGTGTTCGTTAATGGCAGACTGCTTCATCAACTCTTGGAAAAACGAAAATGAGAGTGTTGCTATTTAAAATGCCTTTGTTGTTGCTATAATTTAGTTTTCATATGGCACACATTTTCGCAACTCTGCCAACGGTTGGAAAAATGCAAACAATGACCGGCTCACCGACCCACCAACCCACCGACCCACAAACACGTACCGGCCGGCAATACTGCAGCAAAGAGTTCGGTCATAAATTGCTTTAGCTTGTGGCCAAAAATGCGACCAGCCTGGTGTTTTCATGTGGGCTGTGTTTATTATTATTTTTATTATTATAATTTGTTTTTTTCTTTTTGCTGGTGTTGCCGATTTTCCACGACGTTAGTATATCTGTCTGTGAAAATGTAAACATTTTATTTTATTCAAATGTTTGAATTTTTTCCCGATAGAAATTTGTTGGATTGTTGTCGTTTGTATAAAAGAGCAGGCGTTGACCAGCAACAATCAACAGTCACAACCGTAATTCACTGCAACGCAGACCGACCACTTGCCAGCCGAAGACAACTGAAGAAAAAGGATTATCGAAATGTTGAAATTGGTAAAAACCCAAAATATCAAGACAAACGTGCACAAGTTTCATAAGCATCCTTTTTCAATTTCAATAACTAAACTTAAAATTTTTCCCTCTACTCAACAGGTGATGTTGTTGTCTACTTTACTCGCCGTCGTCGTTGCACGTCCTGGCTACCTCTCACATGCTCCGCTTCTCTACTCGGCGCCAGCTACAGTTATTCATGAGCCGGTTTTGGCTAAAGTAGGCGCTGTCGTGAAGAGTTTCCCCACCGCTGTATCGCATCAGAGCTCATCGGTGGTACACAGTTCGGCTATTGCTGTGGAGCCGATTCTAGCTCCTGTGCTAAAGACCACTTACACTGCGCCACTACTGCATGCTGCTCCGCTATACAAGTCCATTGCCTTGCCGTCTTTGCATACATCGCATTCCGCTGGTTGGTGGTAAAGTTGGTTGGTTGTTGGTATGTGACCGAAATAAAAATTCTAACAAAGTAGCAGTTTGTAAGTGGAGCTACTGGTTCCAGTACCTGCTAGTTGTCCGTCAATTGTTGGTTTTCATCTTCATAAATTTTGTACATACACACAATCATATACATACATATCATCATAAATAAATGTTAGAAAATCGAAAAACAAGTTTTTCAAATAAATTTCTGGGTAAGATTTTCTCAATAATTTAAGTGCTCTGCTCTTCTTTTTCTTTACTGGCGTAAACACCGGCGGGTTTTTCATTTTCATTTTCACTACGACTCAGCGGCAGGAGAATCATTCCCGCCTTAAATTCAGTATACCCTACTCTACTCACTAGATCACCTCTTTGTGTCCTACAAAGGTCTGCTCCGGTGGTGAAATCTTCTGTAAGCCGTCGTATCCTTTCATAGGATTTTCGAGCGTTACTCTTGTCGGCCAGCTTCTCAAGCTCTTCATACTTACACATCTCAGCCACTTTCTTTTTTTTTGTCTGCAGATGGATCTTGCTTCTTGCTTTTCAGTTCTCGGTATCTATCACCCAAGTGTTGTGTTCGATCGCAACGCTGCGAGGTGGACAGTCTGTTTTCTCTCCACTGCGAGACAGTGGCGCAATCCTTATCGTACCAGCTATTTTTGCAACCTTTACAAAATCCAATAGTTTTGTTTGCAACTGTACCCAGGGAGCTTGAAACGCCGTCCCACAATTCTCGCATACCGAGTGCTCTCAGAGAGCAGGAGTGCAAGTCGAGTAGAACACCTTTCGGCAGTCTGTTGTGATTGCTGCTTTTAGCCGTCGAATTTTTTTTGTATTTGCTGACGGGAGTTCTTTTATGCACAGAGGCGCATGCATATCTTCGCTGGGTTCGTGTCGATGTTGGGTCCTCGGAAAGTACACACGTCAAAAACACTGGAGACATCGCTTCCGTCTATCACGACATGAACCATGAACATGTTTTTCGATCAGGGGACAGCCAATTAGCTTAGCTACAGATATCTATATTTCGGGCCCGGCGAAGTCGATCAGCCTCAACCTCTCCAAGCGCCCATGAAAGGCATATTTGGCCAAATCGTCATTCTCTTCCGTCGGGAAGTGGGCGCAAATCGGCAATGTGTTGAAAAATTTCACTTTGGTAGGGATTGTGGCGAGACTCCCCCACTACAAATCCAACACCAAATTTGCGCTCCTTTATATGACCGCTGTAGTAAATGTCACAATAACCTACTCGCTCCCTTCCCTGTCTCGGCCATCGCACTTCTTTTACGGCGGTGATGTCAGTCTTTATTCTAACGAGGACATCAACAAGATGGGCGGTAGCCCCTCCCAATTGAGTGACCGGACATTCCAGATGCATGCTCTCAAAGCGTGATCCCTAATTCGTGTGAGGTGATCTTCATCAGGAAGGAGGTATCTCATCCGAGGAGTAATAAATTTTTTCATTGGAGCTGGTTTCTACGTAGCGGGCCACAAACCCAACGCACTACATTGCTAGGCAAGTCAGATTAAAGTTTTTACACATTTATATAGCGAGCCGCTTGCTTCATGACCAACGCCCGCTCACAGCCGAAACTCTGGAGAACAAATGCAGCAGTTAGGCTTTAACGGACCCTTAGGCCGAATGCATTAAAATATCTCTTCTAGCCGTGATCCAAGGCTCCACATGGATTGGTTACCGCAACTTGTACAAAGGTTGTTCATGTTTCCAGGGTGCGCGATGTGGACGCAAGAGTAGGAATTGAATGTAGCCTCGCAGCTATAACTGCATACCCAGAAGCTTGACTTCCAAATACACCAAATACGCGCAGGCTTTTCATTGGTTTTGACCGAAAAGGACAGACTGCTGCCGAACGGCAACTGCTCTTTTACCTGCGTTGGTGTCTTTTATGATTTCTGTGCACTTAACTCCTGTTGCTAATTGACTGTAATATTATATTTTTCTCTATCTAAAAATTTCCAGTTTAACTTATAGAAATGTGTATACATACATACATTCATACATATGAACTCCTCAAAGCGTTGCTAAGGGCTTTTTATGCCAACACGAACTGGCGTTGGTGTCGTAAATGAGTTCCGCTTTGTTCTGCTACAATAATTCAATTTTATAATATTCCACTTATGTATGTGGAGTGTGTGTGTGTAGTGTTAGGTAACATTTGTATATACAAACACCAAATCGGCAGCTCAAGTCAAAAACTCAACGAAATATTCTGAGATAAATTTCAATGATTAATAACATCCGACTTGAGGCAATGACAAAATAACGCCAAAGGCTCTTGTTCGCGATTATATAATATTTTACAACTTTGGCAACACATACACACATATACAGTACCTATGTATGTGCAAGAAATTGTATATGCAAATAATATTAAAAGTAAAACCTTTTCTAAACCGATTATGACGGCGTTTAGTTACTCAAAACTGTAGAACAACGGAGCTTCGGCTTTTTGTGATATTCGGCCGGTAATGTTCGGTTCGGTTTCGGCTCGACTACACTCATATTAACTGAGGACTCTTAATAAATTTAGTCCATTTTAAGTTTTGAATTAATATTCACAGAATAACATAGTCAAAAGAGATAAATTAAAAACTTGAGAGAAAACTAAATTTAAATTAACTATTAGCTTCCGAGAAAACAGTTTCGAGTGGACTGTTAAAAATAAAGTTATTCTCTATTCAAAATAATCTCTACTTATCTCGCTTTTTTATAAATACTCATTATCGGATTTAAGGTTAGAGAATGTTCTTAGGAGTTCGATGACCTTTACTTGGAAATTACTGTAATCAAAGTTGAATGTTTTAATCTGCAATTTGACATTTAAAACCAAAAATACACATCACTTGATTTTTGAGGAAGTTTTCTAATTTCGAAAGTTTTCGAAATAGTTAAATCGGCAGAGATTGATAAAGGAGGATTTGGATATGAAATATAAGCATGTAGAGGATGCCTTCTGTGTGATCAGCTCACTTCCGGTTAGCTCTAACATTGTGAAGCAATGCTATACATCACTGTCTATGGCGTCGACTTATATCCGAATTAAAAAGGTATGAGTGCCAGATCACTAGTCGGGCATGAATCAATCAGTGATCGCCAGTTTAGCACCTCCATATATGTACTTGCCATATTCTTCTCAGAGTTCAGTACAGCTCCTTTTCACCCCAAAATCAAGCTTTTGGCACAGTGACAATTCTAGTTTAATTTTTTCCGATGGCAAGGCATATTTTTGGTCTCTTTGTGACATCACAGCAATGGTATGTATGTTTTGTTTCTATGTGAGATCCTCTTTGTATCAGCCACTTCTATCTAACCAAACGAACCCCCTGCGAGTTAGGGGTTCAAGAATTTACCCGCGGTAAGGCATGCCTGTCGTAAGAGGCGACTAAAATCCAATTGGTCCCGCAACAGTAGAGTCCTTATGCCGGAACGACCCGGATTTTTATACGGCCAAAGACAGTCACTCCCACAACATTCCCCTAAATGTACTTTGGGAATATTTTGCCGTTACAACAACAACAACATCTAACCTGACGAAATTCCTCTTTAGGAAAATATGAAGTGAAAATATTGATTTGCGATCCCGTCGGGCAATTTTATTGATTTTTCAATAATCAAAGAATTGGTTGTTTCATAAGCCACAAGCCAAAAGAAGAGAAAATTTTAGCAGTAACATTTCCACAAAAATTATTTGGTTAAATTGGAATGAGGTTGAGGACTTCTAGAAGAACTGAGATTTTTAGACCTTCAAATGATCTATTAGAAATCTTTAGCGATGGGTACCAAGTGTCATCATACTTCACATAAAATTGAGACTAATGAAAACAAAACTGATTCAATTGAGAAGCCCGAGGTCATTAATTTCAAGGCAAAAAAAGCAGAAAAAGATTTTGGGTGAATTTTGTAGATGTGTTTTATAATTTTCTTCGAAGACAATAGCTGATAATTACCAGAAAGCATTTTTCTGCTTAGTTTTTGGATTAAATAAGTCAACCAAAACCAATTTTTTTTTAACTAAAATTTTTTACCGAAGATCTATGCAACATACGTGGGTTATTCCTTATATTTCGATTATATATTTTTGCATGCGGGTGAAGCAAATATCGAAGCACTTTTGCCAAATGCGTTCTGAACGCACCAATCTTCTCTTTAAGTGTTGAAAACCCTTGACCTCTCAGTTTTTTTTTACATACGGGTATTAAAAGTAGTCACTCGGTACCAAGTCAGAAATACGCGGTGGATAGCTTGTCGAATCGATGTTTTGTGTGCTCAACGGTATAAAACTTTCACTTGTCCATAAAACCATAAATGTAAAAGAGGAAACCTCGTATCAGGAAATCTTCAACGGAAACTGTAGTAATAATAATCAGCCCCATCTCTGCAGATCCAGAAATATAAGTCTACATGGCGAGTAAAGATGATTTTTTTTATCCTATCCTTGTACTCTGAATGTAGCTCAATCGATTGAGCTTCGCAAAATAATAATCATTTTCGGCCGAAATTCTCCTCAAAATTGTTGTCTGCTTGACTTAAATTTATTTACGCTGCTCGTACTTTTACCCTATAAACAAATATGGGCCATGAGTTGGAGTAATCTAAGAAGGACTTATCTGTAGTCTACTCTTAGATCGATTCATGTCTCGCTCCCAGCGTGTTGTTAGCCGATTATTGCTCGTGATTTAACGATCGCAAATTGTGGAACTTAGATATATATGACCACATCCAATTGTATTAAAAACTAAAAATTAAGTCCGAATATCATTTTTCGTATATACTCCATAATATTGGTGCAGTAAAATAAATTTAAGGCTATAATTTTTCAAATGGTTCAAAATGATTTTTTTTGCACTCTTTAGCCCTGGACAATCGAAACAGTGCTACATGACGGACTCGACAATGTAAACGATTTCATCGACATTTTTGACAACTGGCTTTCCACTCGGTGAAGCATCTTTTATATCAAAATTACCAGAACGAAACCGAAATCCCTCATGATTGATTGTAACATTTTCAGCTGTCCATCTTTGAAGCACGCTCAAATAGATCAACCAATCACAAGACTGCCAAAAAATTTTTTATATTACGAAATGTCATCTTTATAACGCCATCTAACGAAACCCGATCGGATTTATACAA